TTCTGCTTACGTTTGGGATTTCTTTGAATTCGCGCCTTCACAGCTTTTATCACTGCTGGAGTCCTAACAGACCGAGGGCGACCACTTCTTGACCTGTCATCTACACTAGAGTCTTCATTGTATCGTTTGATGGTACGATAAACGAATCTTTTGGTTATAATGAAAATTTTCAGTATGTTAAAAATTTGAATTGGCGCGTAACCGCAACGATGCAACGCAATAACTGCAACACGGTCTTCTTTAAGCGTCCACTCCATATTTAAAAATGAGTAAAAGTCTAAAAGTATACATTTTTATTTTCATGAACAATTCGAAATTCGAATTCAATAAACTTTTTGTGGCCAACATTCTAAAAGAAAAGTTTTTACTGTGTGACAATACTTATGACCTGACTAGGTATAATTTGTGCTGTTTTTATTTTTATCACACGACGTTATTTGTTTACCGTAGAAGTCATTCGTGAATATGTATTAAGTACACATGTCATTAGAAAAATTGGTACCTGAATGTGAATTTCTAACACCAACACAATCGACTCGCTCGGTACGATAAACCAGACGTCTTATGTGCAGGCGTATCATTCTTTAGACCAAGACGACTTGAAACAAAGTTTGAGAACAGTTGGATTAAAACGAAAATGATAGCAATTTCTTTCTATCTCCTATCTGACTACAGTTTGTATCTTATCTATTTCGTTTAAAAAGTTTCTGCGTAATTAAAACTCACTTTGAATATTCGTATTATTTATAGGCCCGAACATAAAACCCCGCAAAATTTATATAACCACCTTTTTAATTTTTTTACTTCTCTTATAGGCAGACGAGCATGCGGCCCACCTGACGATGAGTGATTACCGTCGCCCATGGACTTCAGCAATGCCAGGGGCAGAGCCAAGCCGCTGCTTACCGCTTAATACTCTCCACAAGCCTCGTTTGAAGAAGGACATGTCATAGTCATAGATTGGCAATAGCCGACAGCTGCAAGCCATATTTTGCAAAGCATAAACTTTTTACCCTTCCCTGTCTATATATATACGAAGTTGCATCTTTTGTTAAAACTTGTCCCAATAGATTCACTAAGATGTCTAATGTGGCAAACAGAAATCGACGCAACGATAAGCTATGTTTTCCAAAAACCAAAACTACATTAAAGAATAATAGTATACTAGGTATGAGCGTTAGGATATTTAATAAACTACCGAAGAAATTAAGAGACTTAGATGATTTTAATTTTTAAAAAAACCTAAAAGGTAATCTTATTAGTGAAAATTATTATCACATAAATGATTTTCTTAGGGATGACATTGAAAATAAATGGATTTTTAATTATTAGTTGAATTATGGATGAATGAATGGTAAGTTATATAATATTATAACTATGCACTGCACTAAAATCCGCATGTCAAATAATGACAAAGCATACACGCTGCTTTTAATTTAAGTAATAACTCATTTTCACTATGCTTGGCGAATAAATGATTTCTTTCTTTCTTTTCTTTCTTTCTTTTAGCGCTCGGGGAACACCGTGGAGGGGAGCTCATTCCATAGCCGGATGTTATCGTGGTACTAAGGTGCCACCATTCCCTCTATTCAAAGTTTAAAGAGTGCGACAGAAATCTAGATTTTGTTAATCGCATTGCACCAGATCGGCCTTGAACATTTTGGCAATTTGCCAGTTTAATACCTCCAATAGTTGAATAGATAAATTTTACAGCAAGCTCTTAATGAACACGTCGACTTCGGTGTGACTTGAAATGCACGACAAACGCTCGCGGAATACCACCGGCTTAATTAGACAAAGGTGTGGGTAATCCTTTAACACTAGGGTTACCATGACGGGCTTTGATCTGTTTTGAGATTTCAAGTTGAAACTCAATGTGGTTAAATTGTAAGTTTATTTAAATATTTATTAAAATATTTTGAACTGTTCTAATAGTCTTTTGTCGGTAAATAAAATTGGAGATAATTGTAATTACTTGTAAATGAAACCGAAAAGTCCTTAAGGCACATTGCAATGCATTCACTATGCAGCATAACAAAAGGACATGGTTTGCCGACCACACATCATGCGGGATAAGGACAAGATTGTTGTACTGAACTGAGACCTTAGATTTCACGTCTCAAGGTGGATGGCGGCATTTACGTTGGAGATGTCTATGGGTTCCGGTAACCGCTTAACATCAGTGAGGCCGTGAGCTCGTCCACCCATCTAAGTAAAAAAAGAATAATAATGTAATACTTGTCCACCTTGTTCTAATCGACTTATGTCGTCGTCATTGTCAGTCAAGTTTTAGCAGTACCTAATGCGTTTCGTTTTGAAGGATGGGGCAGCCAACTAGTGTTAGGAGGTCTTATGAGTCGGCACGGGTAGGCAGTACGAGTATCACTCTGCTTTTTTCTGCCGTGAAGCAGTAATGCGTTCGGATTCCGCACGAATTTCAGAATTCGGATTTCGAATTTCAGTTCGGATTTCAAACCCTTCCGTTTGGTTACTATTTACAAATTTCAAACTACCATCATGCTTTCTTAATACAGTGTTATAAATTCCAGAGTTTTTTTATATATTAATATACGTAGTTATATATAATTTCACACACTTATAAAACTTTAAATTCAAATACATTTACTAAATCCGTTTTATTTGAGCTTTCGCTTATTTACCTTCCTTCAGTGCGAAGAATAGCTTGCGAACCCCAAATAAAAAAATAACGAATCATAAATTTAAATAGGGGAATATTTGATACGTTATGCAGTAGTATCACGAAAACGAATTTTCTTCAAAATAAAAAATCGAAAATGAGAAAACAAAGTTGGGTATATACCAAACTTAATTTTAGCGAAGTATTTGTACGTACATTTTATATAACGTGAATGTAAATTAAGAATAAAATAAAATAAAAATGTCAGCTTGAAAAGGTTATTTAAAAAAAAACGTTTTGTGCATAATAATATCTATTATTTACATTTAGTCATTTTCGTTCACAACCCTACAAGTTTTAAGATGCACAGCGCGCAGACTCACTAATTTATCGGAAACAGCAATGGATTGAGGCATGTCATGTACTTTTCTTTATCTATGTCATTTGGTTTATTAATAGGTTTACATTATTTTTAGAGAAACTCAGTTAAAAAAGTGTAATTAACACAAAATGGAGTGCAAATATACCTTGTATTGTTTTCAATACAACTAAATAAAAAAATGGTGCACGTGCAACTGAGTGCACATGAAAGAAGTCAAACTTCTTTGGCAGTGTGTAGTATTGTGGTTTTCTTCATTTTTCATCCTTAAATCAAATTTCTCTTGTAATAGGAGATACTGTGTATAAGAAAAACGACCTCTTCAACATTTATGTATGTTTAAAATTATTTAAAGAAAAATAGATATTCTTCTAATCCTTCATTAAAAGTAAAATATAAGAGTTTATAAGTTACTGCCATCTACAGGAGCAATGAAAAACTAATAACAAGCTATCTAGTGGCCGACGCCCGTAAACAGAATGAGTATAAGAGAAACGACTTAACTCGCATTGTCCTCTCCCTTTCTCCACGGTCGAGTGGTTCGCGAGACGCTCTATCTATTTTCTCACTCTCACTTGCCTAAATTGGATCTTTTCTCTCTAGCCGTAACGAATCTGTCGCGAGTTAAATTTTACTCTCAACGCGCCGAAGAAGTTTCACTTCAAAAAGTCAGATATGTTTGCGTATCTATGGTCAGACACTAAACCGTGAAGACTTTTTGGCGGGAACGCGAGGAGTGAAGTTGTGTGATTTGTTTTATTTTGTCTATTTAGTGTTTCTTCAGGTTTAAATGTGTAATAATGGTGGTTTATTAACTGTTTAATATCTGTGAAAGTGCACAAATGTGGGAAAATGAAACAAAGCTGCTGGACGTAACTTATCGGGTTCCTCCAAAAAGTCCACTGAAAAAATCTCAGTAAATGACCACCATTTTACTGCGATTATATTTCATCCCATATCATCTCATTTCATTAAATTTCATCCCAGTTGATTAATGTCTCAAATTAATCATCTTCATTTCATTTCACTCCATATTATCATTTTTCATAAAATCAAGAATATAAAGTAAAATAAGACATGACTTAAAGGTCTTAGTTACCAGGTCATAAAATCTCTTAAAAAAATTATCTAAACCGTGAATAGAAGTGTCAATTAAAATGTCAACTACCCTCTTCGCGCCGTTTTATAACAAGAATTCATTAAAACGTTTGTGTAAAGTATGCAGCTACTAAATAAATCGTCGCCATCCACCCCAATTACTAATTGTCTCCACCATAGAACCCGTATATCTAATTACCGGTATAATTGTGTCGCAGGCAGGTGTAGATAACGTTGGTACTAGTGATTATTAGATTTGTAATTAAGACGGATTGCTTTCATTAAATCCTATATAAATAGAACTGAAATACGGTCCAGGAAGAAAATTGGGATGTCGAATGTTTAAGGCGTGGAATTTTACGTTGAAGCTATTAGGTGCCTTCTGATAACAGATGACTCTTTTATTGCTTTAGTAGGGTAGACGAACTAATCGACTACCTGGTTTTAAGTAACCGGATGTCTTAAAAATCCGACTACTATGTAAGTTAATGCGGAAGTCGCAACAGTATAATAAAGGTTATGTCCTTCAAGCCGTAACCGGAAATTTCCCGGCATTAATAGCAACTTATCCGGTTTTATAACACATCCTTTTTTTGGGCATCAAGGACCAATCCCCCTACGGTACTGCGCCAAGGGGGCGCACAAGATATGGGATTCCGTGGTTAACTCTACAACCAGAGGCGAGACCAGATTTATCAATATAATAAGAGGCCATCCATAAATGCACATGTCACGTGTGTTCATGATAGGAGAATTCGATTGCAAAATAAAAATATGGCGTGGTTAAAAACTAGTGAGTAGATAGATTTAGTATTGCTCATTCAGACGTCTGATTAAGGAGACGTTTATTATTAAATATCAAATAAAACAACAAAGGTTCATCAGAATCATTGTAATTCTCCACAATTACTTATTACAACTTTCGCTGAAACCGTTCCACTCTTACTGCCGTACCTCTCCATCTTCTTCATCACGTCCAAGCCAGAGATCACGTGACCGAACACCACGTGCTTACCGTCCAACCATTCTGTTCTAGAAAATGTGAAATCATTAGTACTCTGCAAACGCTGTGAGATATTTTTGATGAGAAACATAATTATTATTATATAATAAAATATAATAGTTTTAAAAAAAAAAACAAAAAAAAACGCTTTTATAGAAAATCTAACTAAATTTCTTATGCTTTTGAGGATATTATCAAAATAACCCTTCTATTCATAATTATCTATTCATAAAATATTTATAACTATTGATATGTACCATGCACCCCACGCTTTATTTTACAATAAAATCATTTTTTCTTACACTATTTTTAATTCAATATTATTAAAATTTATTTTAAATTTTTTAGTTGGATTTTCTATAAAAGCGTATTTTTTTAGTTTTTTTATGCTATTATTTATTTTTCATTTTTTAATTGAATTTCAATATATTCAATGTTTCTTTTTTTATTTTAAAATAAAATTCCATCTGAATCAGTCGGTAGTTTCCCTTCTTGGTCTTGACGCAAACACTCCGAGTCTCAGGAAAACAAAAAATCGCTAATCCTGATTATCCTAGTAACGATAACGGATCAAACTGTTTAAAATATTAAATTGTCACCGGTCCTTAATAAGCACGTCAAATTTCGAGTTAATCCGATGATTTGAAGGGGGTCAAAATCATGTTCAAAGATTCCGTTACATACTAACATACATACGTCTGAAGCTAATAAAAGCGTATTAAAAATCGAAACTAATGTTTTGTATTCCCCTATTTCCTGTCCTCAAAATGGGGCTGATATAACATTTAGTGTTTTGCTTTTGATGATTATTTCGGTCATTAAAAGGGCTTTAGTAGATGATACATTTTATAAAATTTCACAATTTTAAATATTGGATAATATATTTAATTTATAAAATACAAACAAAAGCGATCAGGTTTGTACGAAAGCAATACGCTTTTCCTATTAAAATATGTCAGGGATTATCGTCGAAAATGGACCACAGACGATGCTAACAGAGAAACATATCGTTCGGTGTAATTAAAACTACTCTTACGATTTAACCTCGCGGTTTTGTTTACTGGCGCTATAATATTTCCCCGACGTTTCGAATAGTATTATAATATCCGGCGAGGTTTTTTTTTTTAAATGATTTTATGACCTGGTAACTAAGACCTTTAAGTCATGTCTTATTTTAATTTATATTCTTATTTTTATGAAAAATGATAATATGGAGTGAAATGAAATGAAAATGATTAATTTGAGACGTTAATCAACTGGGATGAAATTAAATGAAATGAGATGATATGGAATGAAATATAATCTTAGTGAAATGGTGGTCATTTACTAAGATTTTTTCAGTGGACTTTTTGGAGGATCCCGAGAAGTTGCGTCCAGCGGCTTTGTTTCATTTTCCCACATTTGTGCACTTTCACAGATATTAAACAAGTAATAAACCACCGTTATTACACATTTAAACCTGAAGAAACACTAAATAGACAAAATAAAACAAATCACACAACTTCACTCCTCGCGTTCCCGCCAAAAAGTCCTATCCGGCGACGTTTGAACATTTTGCTAACTACCGTCTATTCTTCTATTATTTCATTTATGTCATTATCGTTGTTATCTAAGAACTAACCTTTTTTTTTTTTAAATTAACGTGTAGTAGTGGTTTTCGTTATGCCTACGACTCGCGAAAACCGAACAAAATACTATATATTATTTATTATATTATAAATCGTCGGATGGTTCCACTTAAGCATAATTCAACGGAATGTATATTTTAATAGGAATTAACACTTTTACTTAGAATAGATGCTCATTTCTAGTATACAAGTAACTATTTATGTAACTAAATAAATAAATCATCCGGAAGGAATCAACCCTATCAACTATTTTGTAGGCAGCAGCTTGGCTCTTGCCGTGTGGCATTGCTGATGCCCATGAGCAACGGTAACCCATCACCATCAGACAGGCAATAAGAAAGAAAAACTAATAATGTTACTTACTTTGCTGTACAAAGAAAGAATTGTGATCCATTCGAGTTGGGTCCGGAATTAGCCATACTTAAAACCCCCGGGCCGGTGTGTTTTAGCTGGAAGTTTTCATCTTCAAATTTTCTGCCGTATATAGACTTTCCCCCAGTTCCGTTGTGATTCGTGAAGTCTCCTCCTTGACACATCTAGGCTTTTAATTCAGGAAATCACCTTTTTTTTTCAAAGTGAAGTCTTCTTTAGCATCGTTGTGATTCGAAAGTTGATGAAACGAAAAAGCGACAGTAAAAAGAGACAGACACATAAATTCATAAGATTTAACGTGGGAGAAAATGAGATAGAAGAATTATACAGTATCTCTTATATTCGTGGTTCTCTTTGTGCTCTGCTTCGTACCTATTATTCGTGCTTAATAAATACATTCTGAATAAATCTATGTAATATATACGAATAAAATGTAAAATAATTATCAAGCTTTGTATCACTTGTAGCCTACAATTTATCCTCTTCCCGAAATTTTACATTCGTCTCATTATTTCGAAACCAAAATTTTTCAAAGTTTCAATTCTATCACGTATGATTTGCACACAATATGTTTTTTTTTTACTATATATTATGAGAATGACGTAAGAGAATTTTTAATGTCTGAAAAGCGCCAGTAATCAAATCTAAATTCTGACGTGGAATTTAATAGGTTGGGGAGAAAGTTTCTTCGCATTTTTTAAGAATATCACATTTTTTAATATAGTTTATTTACATTTAACTAAATTATGTAGGTACCATTTTGTTCTATAACTTTTAATGATACTAAAACCAGCCAGATGCAAATAGTATAGCCAAAGAGATTTTAGTACAAGTTCATCTATACTTATAAATAAAATTGTAGTCTGTTTGTAATATTGAAATAACTGTTTTTTACTACATGCATATTAATATATATACGGTACATACACCAAAATAACATTTTTTACAATTTTTGTCTGTCTGTCTGTTTGTTCCTGCTAATCTCTGGAACGGCTGGACCGATTTTGACGGGACTTTCACTGATAGGTAGCTGATGATATAAGGAGTAACTTAGGCTATTTTTTTAGACTAGCTTCACCTCGCGGCTTCATCCGCGGTACGACAATAACCGCGGTTAACATCGCGGGACTCAGCTATCAATAGTAAAATTTAATGTTTCCGAAGCGAAGCGAAGGCGGGTCGCTAGTACATTCTATAATGCGAAAAGACTTTTTCCCCTACCTAATATTACACATCTATGCATATTTTAAAGAATGACTAGACCAATGTTTATATGTTTGAAAAGGATACGAATTCTGGAATAATTCGATGAAAACTACTGCCCTGGTACCCGAAACCTTTCTCGTGTGTACACAAAGATCGAAAGTTCTCCGCTGTTTTTGGGACTATGTCAGCTCGAAGCATCATAATTATACGGCCTATCTCTTGTTTGTTCACACTTATGTCGAAATACACTTGGGGATTACGTTTCTCTATAGGTTTCGCTGGTGTAACCTGAAAAAGTTTAATTCTAATTATAATTTCAATGATGTATGGATCTGTATAGATTTGAATGTTGGGCGACGAAAGTAAAGCATGAAAGAGGAGTGCACGCGGCAGAGATGCGAATGTTGAGATGGATGTGTGGAGCGACAAGAATGGACAAGATACTGGTAGGACCTCCTGTGAGTCCGCGCGCGTAGGTACCACCGCCCTGCCTATTTCTGCCGTGAAGCAGTCATGCGTTTCGGTTTGAAGGGTGGGGCAGCCGTTGTAACTATACTGAGACCTTAGAACTTATATCTCAAGGTGGATGGCGCATTTACGTTGTAGATGTATATGGGCTCCAGTAACCACTTAACATCAGGTGGGCTGTGAGCTCGTCCACACATCTAAGCAATAAAAAAAAACGAATGACTATATCAAAGGAAGTGTGAAAGTAGCCCCGGTAATCAACAAATTAAAGTGCGGACGTGGTATGGACATGTGATGCGTAGAGAGAAGATGCATGTGACTAGGAGATGTATGGAAATGGTAGTGCAAGGTAGAGGAGGTAGAGGAGGAAGAGGAGAGGAGAGGTCGACCGAAGAAGACATGGTTGGAGTGTGTGAACGACGATATGATATGAGAGAGAGGAGTCAGTGTTGAGATGACGGCTGATAGAAGAGAATGGAAGAGAAAAATTAGCTGTGCCGACCCCACCTAGTTGGATAAGGTGGAGACAAAGATGAAGAAGAGAAGAATTTCAATGTAAATTTACACACTTTGTTTTAGTATATTCATAACATCACTTGAAAACAATGTAACATATGTGCCAAATCAATAAGCTCTTGACTGGAAAACTGGAGACAATACGAAGACATGGAGTGTATTATAGAACAAAAAATTATCATCATTATTTCACTTCCTGTGAGGTGGAGTTAGGAAAGTTGATATTTAAATAAAATTCAGACTTGTAATTAACGTCTGAAAGTAGCATTCGCTCTGTAACTGGCATAATACCAAATTACAAGCCAAAAGTTTGACAGAGTTTATGTTATCTCAAGAATTACTAATGCTAGTGACAAAGTTATCACACCCCTTACCCAGAGTCTTTACACATTTGCTTTAAGCGCTTTAGGCCTTATATTATGCATCCTTAAATTCAATCTTTATCAATATTTCGGATAATATTTATTATCCTTTCACATGTTATGTACGAATCACGAAATACGATATGGGTAAGAGAGGAGTGAGCGAAGAAGTAGTATATGATAGAAGAGTATAGAAGGAAAAAACATGTTGCGCCGACCCCAGGTGACTAGGAGAAGGGCAAGATAATGATGATGTTATGTCCGAATCATAACCATCTTATTTCTTAATTTGATGTACTTTTTAGATTACTTACACTAGTAGTTTCCGTTTTGTCTTTCGTTTCAGTTTCTTCACCATCTTTGTTCAGTTGAAGAGTTTCCCCAGCATGTTTCTGCAGCCATGAGTCATCCGACCAGACGGGTCGTGTGGAGCCTTCTTTAATGCGTTGCGGAGCTGCTATGTTCACTCGTATTGTTCTACCAAATAATTCGGAATCATTCTAGAAATAGATAGTTAGATTACAAGTTAAGATGAGAAAATATTACTAAACATGTTTAAAATTGGATTGCATTATTTTTTAATTATGCATTCTACAATATGTCCATATTTTATATATTCTCTAGAATGACATCCAACCATGATACTTACTAAATACTAAATATTAATCTACTAGAGTAGATTATTATAATAATATATATCCATCTATATAATATATATTATATAATTTTCAAACCTATTTCATAAATGTGTTTACTGTGTATATAACTTTTGTTCAATCAAGCCTACACTTCAGTTATGAAGAAATGACAGTTTGTTAATGTATTAAGCTAATATTACATTAAACATTTTAGTGTTAGTTAATTAAACAAATTATTAAAAGAATCAAAAGCTCCAAAGAACTTTAAAAAAAAATCCCTAAAAAACATGTGAATAAATAAATGTGAAACAATATATTCACTATATTACAAATATAATTTTAATATTAGTAGTACAAAGTATTTGCCAATGAACATAAATTACAGACAAATAGTTGTAATTCTCCCTTCAATACTTTATATTGAGAGGTGAAAGTCTATTTGTTTTAAGTGACATTTTTGGGACTTATGGGAATGTTATTTAAAGTTTAAAATTTAAAAAAAATAACAAACAAACTTTTTCAGCTTTTTTAATGGAATAAACTCAATTGAAGTTCAATTAAAAACATTGAACTGTTGTTGCTAATACCAAATAAAACACACCTTTCATTATGAAGATAAGCTTCACGTATTAAACAAAATGTCGCTTGTACCAAATAGCTTTTCACTCCTCAATATAGATTCAACTTTAATTCATTTCAAACAACAAACGTTCATTAAATTCAAACTCATGGCACCAGGTTTATGTAATTACAAGAGAACAGACATCAGAATGTGAATGCTGCCACCCACCTTGAGAAATAACGTCATAGTTTCAATTGTGGTTATTCCACTCTAACGGTGATGACTACTATGCTGATCAGAAATCAGAAACAATCATGTTAGTGGTACCTACCTCTTTGGCTTACAATATGCCTTACCATCTGTAATGAAAACTCTGGGACTTCCGAGTTATAACAACAATAATAACACTTCTTCACCTCTTGCTATATTCGCTATAAAGATCGAAAAAATGTAAGCATTCAAAATGACAAATATTGTAAAACTTATATCTTATGTGTCTAAAAAATTATTCCTGAATGTAATTTCACATTCTTTAACGATAAACATAGATATGTACTCTTCGTTTGTACCAAAATGAGTATTTTGTATCATACTTGTGGACTAGAACTGAAAGAATCTGTGTCCTGCATCTGACGCGTATTTAGTTCACTGTAAAAGTACTGACCATGTTATCGATGGCTGCGGCGGCATCCTCAGCATTTTCAAACTCTATGAAAGCGAAGCCCCGATGCTTCTCAGTCTCATAATCCAAAGGTATTTGAACATCAACCAAATCCCCGAAAGGGATGAAAGCAGCGTTTAAAACTTTCTCGTCGACCTCCTCAGCTAGTCCTCCAACGTATATTGTCCGCTTAGAATTAGGCTTACTCGACATCACGTGTGCTTATTAATATATTAATTTATTCGAAATTTAAATGAAATCTAAGTAATTTATGTAACTATTTGTTTGAAAGCGGTTTGTTTATATCAAACATAACCTCAAAGAGAATGACAATTATAAAAGTCAAATGTCATTCTGTCAAAGGAATTAAAATAAACAGCATTACCATATAATATCTGTGGATTCAATGATTTTCAAGTAAGCAGTTGATTTTTACGTAATTTAAGATAAGCTCAGAGTAGCAAATTACACAAACGATAGATATCTCATTCTCAGTTTCAAGTATGATGAAATATTTTCCTATTCTATAGTGAGATATTATATAACAAAATGGTTTTCTAATTGTTTTTTTATTTAATCTAAGAGCTAACTAATTATCCACAGTTAATAAGTAGTACACTTCTTAAAGAAAGAAAATATACGTAAGGTACTGGACGAATTCCTAAATGCCTGTAGAATGCCCACCTCTTCTTCAACCCATGTCCACTAATGCTGAGTATAAGTCTCTTCAAATGCACTCCATTTTTTGATTGCATAGATGGGTAGACGAGCTCACTGCCCACCTGGTGTTAAGTGGTTATCAGAGCCCATAGACATCTACAATGTAAATGCCGCCACCCACTTTGAGATATGAGCTCTAAGATCTCAGTATAGTTACAACGGCTGCCCCACCCTTCAAGCCGAAACGCATTACTGGTTTACAGTAGAAATAATATTTAATACGAATTTTTTCGGTCTCTTGCCTGTCACATCCAATCTCTACCAGCTATTTTGACCAATAATAACCCAGAATGTTCATCAAGAATGAGCAACCATCGAACGCTGCGTCTATGCCAGTGTAAATCTGTAACATTTTCTAATAAAAAGCAAACCCGCGAAAATTTTACTGGTTGTAGGACCTCTTGTGAGTCCGCGCGGGTGGGTACCACCACCCAGCCTATTTCTGCCGTGAAGCAGTAATGCGTTTCGGTTTGAAGGATGGGGCAGCCGTTCTAACTATATTTGAGACCTTAGAACTTATATCTCAAGGTGGGTGGCGCATTTATGCTGTGGATGTCTATGGGCTCCAGTAACCACTTAACACCAGGTGGGCTGTGAGCTCATCCACCCATCTAAGCAATAAAATATATATATATAAATAATACGTAAGTTCTAGTGGTAGGGTGTCTTATACGCCCACAAGAGTAGGTAGCACCGCTCTGCTTATTACTGCCGTAAAGCAGTAATACGTTGGTTTGAAGGTACAACCGTTGTACTTTAAAAAGTTAGACCTAGAACTTATCTCTCAATGTGGATGGCAGCATTTACGAAGTTGCTGTCTATGGGCTCCGGTAACACATAATGACAGTTGAGCCGTGAGCTCGTCCATTCATCTTCAGGCTGCTTGGTCGATCTCAGTCGATGAGTTTAGATATGTCAAGACTGCCATTCTCGAGTCGTGCCATAAGAGCAAGTAAAGTGAAACCTTCAGAGGGATCAAAAATCGGTTGTCTGTAAAGTCGGCTTACTGACGATAGTTGAAAGTGACAACGTCATAAGAAAATACTGATGGAATGGTTTCAATTTTCAAAGGAATATTTTAATTTTATTTCTTTGACTAGCGACCCGCCCTCGCTTCGCTTCGGAAACATTAAAACACACATGAAACCAAAAATAAAAAATAAAAATAAAAAATAAAAAAAGTAGCCTATGTTCATCAGGGACAATGTCGGCTTCTAATGGAAAAAGAATTTTTCAAATCGGTCCAGTAGTTTCGGAGCCTATTCGAAACAAACAAACAAACAAATCTTTCCTCTTTATAATATTAGTATAGATAGATATTTTGCATGGATATAGAGAAGGAGGTAAATGGAAATCACAATTGAATTGATCGTGACGCTTCAATTTCTCTCATGACGTTTTCAATGTTCAAATTAGACTCGAATTGACTACGGCGTTCCATGATCGCGTCTTTGTTGTCGCCAAATAATTGGAGAAATTTATTGCCAGTTTAGCCACGTGATCGTGGAACGCCTCAGAGCGAGGTAACGCCGCATGAGTCATGTTTTTTCGTGCGTGCAGCCGGTTCCACCGAATTTTAAGACGTTGTCACCTCAAACACGATTTACTGTAAGTCATTTTATTTAAATAAACCTCAAATCTTCAATATAACATAAATGAAATGAAAGACATGCGGAAAGCAACTAAAATTAATGCGTACGGATGTTGACAGGCGATTCTGTATCTATTAACCGTTGGATACGGCTTTTTATGTTTTCTAAGTACATACGTACAGTCAAACACAGAATGACATTTAATGAACACTGCAAGCGATGACGATTAATCTCAATCCCAAATGTACCATCATATATGTCGGCGCAACGTCATTATTTGGTTAACCAAGATTAGTTAAATTTAACTGTATCCTTAATTTTACGCATTTAAACATCTTTTTAAGACGGTATTCAAGAAAATTCATGACTTAGCTACCCCCACTATTCTACTATAAATACGAGTGACTATTGTCGCACAAAACACACTTCGATAAAGCGGCACGACATGAGAATCCTCTCATCGTGGCCGCCGGAAACTACATAGCCGATTCTGCGGACCAAATGGTAAACAGTCGACTTCGCCCAAAACACGTCATTTCGGATCCTCCCGATCCATTAGCGGTGCTTTTAGGTACCCCAAGCACCGGTCATCGTTCACGTCGAACCCGTCGGGCTCGGCGAATAAATTAGCCCACAGACACAACCCACTGAGTTTCTCGCCGGATCTTCTTTCAGTGGGTCGCGTTTCTGATCCGGTGCTAGATTCTGCGAAGTATGGCTCTTGCTAGGGTTCGTGTTAGCAACATCGTCAGGTTTGAGCTCCGTGAGCTCACGTCCTAGTTAAGGTTACGCTAATATGGTCTCTTTAAACCATCAGCTTCGGTAGGAAAAAAAAAGAAGAAAAAAGCAGAAAACATTCCGACTTGAGCAGCCCACTGAGGCCGAGCTCTCTGTTATTGTCGCTATACACTTACAGAATGCAATAAATGGAATTATTGGAATAGGGAGTCATAATTACCGTCGCTATGGAAGGCAATAACGATGATGAAGAGAATGGGGTCACCGACGCCAACGTCATCATTCTAAAAACCCCATGGAACCAGTTTAATCAGTAATATATTTGGAACATAATTAACCTAAAACTATTAGGTAGGTAGTATTTGAGTTAGTAATACCTATCTAGTATAGTTAAAATACTCTGCTATTTCTAACTACTCAGGCACATAACACGGCTTTAAGAATGACGTTTCTCTTTCATTCTTCATCGCCAAGATAAAGTGTGATTTTAAGGTAATTGTTTGTAGCGTGACATATTGTGAGCTGATACGGATCACACAAGCGCCCCCGTGTTTGTCTTATTTCTAACGAAAAGCTTTACGACGAGTCTCTTTTTCAATCGAAATTAGACTTAATATTTTTAATTTAGGATTTATATCTAATAACAAGCCCTCGGAATTACAAGCCTTCGCTTCGGAAACATTACATTTTATTATCGACGCTGTTACTCGCGGTTATTGTCGTACCGCGGGTGAAGCCGCGGGGCGAATCTAGTCTAAAAAAAGTAAAAAATGTTTTTTTGGTGTATGTACCGTATATATATTCATATGCATGTCCTAAAAAGAGGCTATTTCAATATTACAAACAGACACTCCAATTTTATTTATACCTATATGTATAGATGTATAGATTGCCAGAAATCAGCAGATCGTGTTAGCACTTAAAAGTTCACAAGAAGGCGTGCACATAATTGAAAAAAAAATCCATACAATTTTTGCTCCGACAGTACTACTCGAGAACACAGTGTTGGTTTCCGGTTATTTTAACGGTCCAAGCTCGATTATAAAGTAAACTTTTGTGTGTATCAATACGAATGCAGATGTACCGGGTAATTGAAATGTAATCTTGACTTTACGCGGTGAGATTACCGTAGCCTGACTGTGAGGTACAATCACCGCTGAACAAAGCCGAATTTGTTCTACGTTGTGCTTAAAAAGAGAGTGGAAAAAAATATATTACGTATAGGTAAGAAGTTACAATAGAATCTTTTTGGGTTGTACTGCTTTTATCGCGTTTTGATACAATTGAGACTAGAGAAGTCAAGTAAGTAAGAATCTTAGCGATCCACGGATTCTTCTTGCGAATACCGGGTCCATCGTATTGCTGAGAGAGGAATATGGAGAATGCCAGTGGACTGGTGACTCTGGTGTAAGTTTAAGTGGCCCCTGTCAATGCGCATTAATCTCACCCTCATTCCTCGCATTCCATGCCTGGCCAAATTTGATATGAGCTCACTAATGCCCCTTTAGATGTTCGTTCAAGTATATAATTTACTAAAGTTCTTGACAAGCCAAGGTCTTTAATTTTTTTTTATTGCCCTTGTAGGCAGACGAGCATACGGCCCACCTGATGGTGAGTGGTTACCGTCGCCCATGGACTTCAGCAATGCCAGGGGCAGAGCCAAGCCGCTGCCTACCGCTTAATACTCTCCACAAGCCTCTTTTAAAGAAGGACATGTCATAGCGCTCGGGAAACACCGTGGAGGGGAGCTCATTCCATAGCCGGATGGTACNACATGTCATAGCGCTCGGGAAACACCGTGGAGGGGAGCTCATTCCATAGCCGGATGGTACGTGGCAAAAAAGACCTCTGGAAACGCACTGTCGATGACCGCAGTGGCTCCAGGTAGTATGGATGAACTCTACTCCGGTGGCGGGCGGTGCGATGGTAAAAACGAGATGCCGGTATCATCTCGAACAATTCCTCAGAGCAATTCCCCATGGAACATTCGGTACAAAATACAGAGGGAACCGAAGTCCCTCCGCAGAACCAAAGGCTCCAAACGATCCGCGAGAATGGGACTATCGACGATTCGAACGGCCCTCCCTAATAGATTATAGATAGATTTCGCTAATATACCGATTATACTTCAACTCCATATAACTAACCAATATCGATTTTTGGTTAACTC